GTAATTGCATGACAGATTGAAGTCCCTGTCATCGAGGTCAGATAATGGGAATGTGATAGTGCAATGAATGATAATAAGACTGTGATAAAAAATGCTATTGATTGCATAAGAATTCAGACCCATGAACTCTATTTAGTGTGAATCCCTTAGGCACCAATGACAGCCACAGGCCTTTTTGTGTGAGTCTCCATCAGCTTTGCACAATAGCTTGGTGCAATTTTTGCCCATTCATCTTCCATATTTGCTTAAGCTCTCTCCTGTTGCTTGGGGTTGCTTTGCGGACAGTACTTTATCCCTCAGGTGTTTTTAGAAGCTCCTAGGTCTTCATGGTTGAATCTTTGCTTGAAATTCACTACCCGACTGAGAGACTGTGTCTGCTGGGTTTTGTTCCAACTGGGCCCTTAACCACCAGTGCTCATTGGTGCTTACAACCAATCTGTTTGCTGGTGTAGATTGTTTTGCACCCTGTCCTTGGTTTAAAAATGCCCCAATTAAAGTCCCTATTTCAAATATGTTCAGCATGTAAAACTTGCATTTGCAGTCTCTTCTCAACCTAATTAAGAATTTGTTCCCATATTTCTGACTAAATAGCTTTTAATAGGTGATCAATTGATGATGAACAGAGGCCCACAGTGAGTCAGTGTTTTTCCTTCTGTTCAAGTCCAAATGGTTGTCCATCTGTTTTCTAAGTGCTTTATCCAGACGTTGCAGGCACAGGGCAGGATATACCCTGGACTGGATGCCAGTCCATCACAGGACACACACCGACACAAACACTGACATTGCACACACTCTTTTCCCAGAAGCTAATGAATCTACCAGTATGTCTTTGGACAGTGGGTGAAAACCTGGGCACCTGGAGGAAACCCACTCAAACAGGGGAATAACAGACCGAAAGCACACAGGGTCAGCCACTGAACCCAGAACCCCAGCACTGCAAGGCACTGCACCACCATGCTGCCCCCAAATGATTATATTTCAGCAGGTACACCTGCACGAGGACAGCCCTGAAACCTAGCACGGGGTTCAATCCAATTACAAAAAAAACTGAAAGCAACTTAAAATAGGCCTCTAAAATCAGAATTATTCAAAAGAGCTCAAGCATCAGGATTACTGTACTAGATAACTATTGTACTGGAGAAATTTTAATTCAGCCCCTTGATTGCAGAACAATAGCCTAAACAAGCAAGCAGATTACTGCCAGCAGTCAGCACAAGTGACTAAGGGCCCAGTTGGAACAAAACCCAGCAGACTAAGGATCCCCCAGGACCACAACTGAGAGCCCCTGAGATAAAAGAAAGCATGTGAAATATCAGGATTTGGACTAGTAAAAATGAGAGCACTTTCCAAAGACATCAGCCATTTGCTTCCACCATCTGCACCTTGCCTGTATGGTGTTTCTGTCTGCTCTGTTTTGGGCCTGGTGTTCTGATGCGTTATTCCCTTGTCATAGCATTTATATTTAATTTTATGATGAAATACAAATTCTATATAATAAGGGTGCTGGGTGAGTAGAGAGAGACACTTTGGCAAAATGATTATTGAAATGGAAAGATCATCCTCTCTACTGGTATTCTGCTCTTACTTCAAGCACCACGGACAGTGCGTAAAGCCTACCAATTTTTTTTTCGTGTGTCGGTGAGGTAACAAAAGCGAATGAAGCAGGGAGAAAAATCAATATCAATCCATTGAGATGCAATACTGCACCAAGACAGAAACAGCAAGACGGAAGGAGAGAGAGAGAAGTAGTGAAACGTCGCATCTAGATGCAGGAGTTTAAAACCCACAGGGCCTGTGGTGTATCTGTTGCTGCTGAACTGAGACACTGTGTCTAATAAAGCATCTACTCAGGGCAAGACAGGGGAATTACGAACGTGGACTCTAACACACGTACACAGCAGGGTGTTTACTGCAGGAACCGGAGGCTGCCTGCCTGAACACAGACACTCCTGAGCTGAAGAAGGCCTCATGGGGCCGGGCCAGAGAAGAGTGGGCAGGACAGTGGGGGCTGCTACAGCTCTCAGCTCCTTCCCATCTGTCAGTGGTTTTCCGCTGTCATTTTTTAAACGGCAACAAGCACGCTTCCCGAAACTGTAGCCCTCATGATGCCTTGAGGGGAAAAAAAATTGCAGAGAGCTCCATGCGTTTTGCCCTTATGTGGAGCATATCACATAACTGCAGACCGAGGTCTCTCTTCCGGATTGTGCCAGTTGTGTGCAATCAGGAACATGAGTGGATTTTTCCCTTCCCCCCTGGGTGTTTCTGGCTCTTTTGCAAATGGGCCTGAGCAGGCTAATAAGGAGGTTTGAGCTTGGCAACGTTTATTAATAATTCAGTTTGAATCTACCTCCCTCTTGTGCTCTGGTGGACTGAAAGTGCTGCAGTTATAATAGGCTTGCAGTACCAGCCTCTGAAATTTATCAATAGCCATCAAGCTCATTGTGCTATTCTGCCCAGTGAACAGCACGCCAGACAGAAAGAGGAAGGGAAAGGGGAGAAGTAGTCTCAGCCCAAAGCATAGTCCTTCACCCACTGAGTACCTCGAATTTGCAAAGCACCAAGCTGATTGATGACGGTGTGAAATCCTGGGTGGGACTGGCTGCAGTTTGTGAAGGAATCTTTGAATCGGCAGACTGTCCTGTGTTCAGTTCATGTACTGTGGCTTGCTCTCTCCAGCTGTGCAAACACACTTTAAAACTAGCGTTGTGACACTTGACTGTCACAGGAGCTAGCCTCCATTTTATTTACTGGAAATTCGGCATGATGAGAACTGACCACATGGCTGGGTTCAGGCCAACAAATGAATCCCAGGAAACACCCTTGGTCTGCTTGATTGTGAGGTAGGATTGGATGTGATTCAAATAAATTAAAACTAATGGCAAAACGTTCAGTGTTATCTTTACTAAACAGTAGAGCTAATACTTATCAGTGCTAGATAAAAGGTTTGAATAATAACAAGTCGATAAACCCTTATGAGAGTTTACTATTCTGAATTTATCACAGTATTTACACAAATTTACCATGGTTTCCTATGACTTCACAATGCTGTATTGTGCTGACCAGGAGTAAGAGACTGCATGACCATGCTTCAGTGTTGACACATCATTTTCTGTCTTCTAGATACTGTGTAGAGGCATTTAACATTTTAGTATAACTTGATTTGTACTGTAAATAGTAGTTCAGGTGGGGAGCTGCATCAGCATGCGTAGGCTGCAAAGGAACAAGTAGTAGGTTTATTCCACGTTGAAAAGAGAAGAAAGAAAACACAACGTTTCGGCCATGGAGCCTTCTTCAGGTGTGAGCCTGAAGAAGGCTCCACAGCGGAAATGTTGTGTTTTCTTTTCTTTTCAGCATGGAATAAACCTATTACTTGTTCCTATTGTAAATAGTAGACCTGTAAGACTTGTTTAAGTATTACTGTTTGTACTTTGTACAGTATGATGATAGAATTTCAAAAAGATATTGCTTCTGTGAAATTGGTCCACACTCTAGCCCTTAAGGGAATGTCCTACTCTGACAGGGTAAAATATCTTCTCATTGATGAAGTTGGTTCACTCAGAATCAACAGTGAAACACAAACCAGAGCACAAGAGTGGAAAATACAGAGAAATATTTATAACTGAGAACAGGAAGCCTTAATGCACAAAGGTTTGTAGAAATCTGGAATGAACTAGCCAGTCTGACACCATGTCTTTTTTCCAAGAACTGGATGGATAAGTTCTTTGAATTGGTCAATTAACAAGCTCGATGGGGCATATGGCTCTTGTGAAAACCATTTTCTCACTCTGTGTTCTACAGCAGTAAAGCACTGAGAAGGCAAAGTAATACCACATTTACAGTGCATAGGCATCACACTAAATTCACAGTGGTGAACGTTTGATAAGGGAGAGTTCTTTTCTTAGATAAAATGAATATGATATATTAAGGGATATATGAATATACTTCAGCATGCTTTCACGTTAAAAAGCACACTCGTCTAAAGACTCTTCTGCTGTTTGTGTTAAGTCAAAATAGCCACAGAGATCCCTTTCACCCTTATTAGAATTTATGAACACGGCATAGCCAATTTTGACAAGCTCTGCTCCTCTAGCACTGAGAAAGGGTCAGAGATAATTATCACAGTACTGTATGTCTGTGTATTCCACACTGTTGTATTAGGGATAAGTGTCTATCAGCAGTGCGTATTTCACACTGCTATATTAGGAAGGTGTCTGTGTATTCCACACTGCTATATTAGGAAAGAGTGTATCTACACTATACCACACTACTATACAATATTTGGAGAGTGTGTGTGTATTCCACACACAGCTTGTCCTATCAGTGTTATCAGTTGCTATATTTTGAGTGTATTTTCTCACTGCAGTATTAGATGTGTGTGTGTGTATCCCATACTCCCTTGTTAAGAGTGTGTGTGTATGTATTCCAGTCTGTTGGTGTTTGTGTACTGTATATTCTACTCTGCTGTGTTAGGGGTGTGTGTGTGGATACTCCACGCTGCTGTGTTAGGGGTGTGTGTGGATACTCCACGCTGCTGTGTTAGGGGTGTGTGTGGATACTCCACGCTGCTGT